GTAAATAAAAGATCTGGTGATTGCAAGAAATGGATTTTTTTTTAATTATACATTTGCTATAAAAATACTTCAGTTTTAATTCAAGGGTTCCTTTGGTTTCATTCTGCTTTGTAAACAAAAGTACTTATTGTTGCCATTTTAAATGCATTAAAAACAAAACCCAAAAACTTGGCAGTGTGCACTTCATCAGCACGCATTAAAAAGCCCAGATGCAGTCCCTATAGGGGACGCCATACCTAAAAAGATGTGTTTCATCTGAGTCTGCTTCAGATGCATAGAATATCTAATATAGGATGCCGTTCTTGATTTTTCCATTGAATGTTTTAACATAAATAATATCCTAATTTGTAGATTTCAAATATTGAAAGTAAAGAAATTGCTATATGCATTTTTTTTTTCATGAGAAGTCTTTTTCATAGTAGCTTTCTAGTGATAACCACGGCTTAGAGTCTGTATGGTGAAAGCATCAATTTGTGTTTTGCCAGGGAAGTGGAGAACTTGAAATTTTAATATACCAGCGGAAATTCTGCTACCGAATGAATTGCTGATAAGTTGGAGCAGGGAAGGGTGTAGTTTGTTTCTGTGATTGCTCCTTTGTTGATTGGTTTAAGAGAAAGTATTACAGGTTGAATGAATTCCACACAGCTAATTACGATCATATTAAATTAATAATGACTGGCAGGGTTTTTTTTTTTTTTTATCAAATCTGCTGAAAATATTTGCTGTCATTTGTGTCCCTGAGATGGGAGATGACATTCTGCTGCCTGTCTTTCCACAGGACCTGTTGTTCAGTGTGTGCGCGCTCAACATCATCTCCACCATTGTCTGTGCTTTGGCAACAGCGATGTGCTGCATGCAGATGGTTTCTTCTGATCTTTTGCAAATGGTGAGTAAGCTTCAGTGGCAGCACGTGGTATTGTCCAACGTATTTTCCTGATTTATGTGTACTCATTTGTATCTACTTGTTGCTTTTACACTTATGCCGACTTGTGTGTCTGTGTATGTATGAACATGTTTGTGTACAAGGGTGTGTTTTATCTGTTTGCATAAATACAGTGTACAGACGTATGCGCTATGAATAGCTGCTATGTTTAAAAGCAGCTAGAGAGTTATATCTATAACATAGAGAGTTATAATTAGGATTTTTTAACGGGGAAAAGATTAGTTTTATTACCAAGGCTATTACCAAGGTTCAGTTTTTACATGCACGTTAACTTTTCTGTCACCGAATGTTTATCAACTATAGTTACCATACTGTCTAGCGTAGTTACTTAGCTGTGAGATGTTATTTTTCACCACTTTCTAGTATGAGGAAGAGCAGTTTCAAAACTGGAGCTTTTCACAGTAGCCAATAACTGTGTTTTCGTAAGGAAAAATACATTTGGCTTCAGAGTAGTGTTTGTTGTTAAAGCAAGAGGAGAAAGGAACGTTAGTCTTCTGGATAGCTGGCTGCATTACAGGGTGCTCTCGTCTTCATTTGGACGAAGATAGCTTTCCGATCCCAAATGAGCGCTGCAGTCTTCAAGGCTCCAATTTAATGTTGAAGCATGAAAAATAATAATTTAAAATCCTCTGTGTTTTGCAGGACGGGTAAACTGTTTCTCACCCAGCAATTATCACTGGCAAATCGAGGAAGTTATCCTCTGTTAGTTACCCTCTGTTTTGTGTGTTTAAAATCTCTTGATTTTAAGCCCACGAACTCCTACCAGCCATTTGTAGATCTCTCACCTTTTAAAAGCCCGCCTATGTAGAGTACTGGCCCAGCAAGTTATTTGCAAACAGTTTGTGCAGCAGAGAAGCAGGTTGAATAGCATGCTACGTAGGCATGTGATTGATCAGAAATGCATTAGCTACCATGGTTATTAATTGAGTTTTAAGGACATAATGAGTTACAGAGATCTAACCATCCTTTCTAGACAAGGGTTCCAGTCACTGGGCTACAAACTTAGTTAAAAATATCCTCAACCTGTTAGCTGAGGATTACTTCGTGCATTAGCACGTATAATGCAAGTTAAGGGAAAAAAGAAAAAAGGCTGCGTAGGGTACACAAATACATGTTTTCGTATAGCTCTCTCCCTGTTGAGCACACTATTGAGTGTGCTTGTACAGGCTTGTAAGCATCACTTACTTAATAACTTTCTTGAGGATGTCATAAACAGCCTTGGCAAAAATGATCCCTCGCAGCTGATGACACATTGTATCCAAAACATTAAACAGTTGTTACCATATTGTACGTATTCTTCTTTTAATATTGCCCCCTACTGATATTAGTTACAAGATACCCAACGCCTGAAGAACTTGCTCATGAAGTAATTTTTTCACCTTGCAGTGATTATAGGGAGAGGAACTGATCACCACTCCTGAAAAGACCTGCCTGTTTAGTGTGACAGTGGTGTCAGAGATCCATGTGTAGTCATGTGTATTCAGGGAAGTTTAACTTGTGATTAATGTTATGGTATTTAGCAGTGTGTTTAAGAAGAGGAGAAACATATAGATGGCAATGAATCAAGACCAATAACGAAGTGCTTCTGATGGGCATGCACAAGAAGCAGTAACCAGAATAGGAAATAAAATATCTTCAAGTCATGTAATTTCTCTCTACCACTTCTTTTTTCACTTCTTCTTTCCTCAAGTTCTTTCTTTTCTACCTGGCAATGCTTCTCTTATGTCCATTTCTTTTTACTTCTCATGCTTCATGTTTCCAGCTTTCTGTCTTCTTGCTTAGTTGTTCATTCTTCTGCACTTTCAGCTCTAGTGACAGGAGTTTTCTTCCCTCTTCACAGAGGAAATTATACCTTCCTTCCTGCTCACCCCGGTCTCTTCTTGTTTATTCTTAAGTTTTTCCCCTTTCTTCTTTCAGGTTGCTGAGCCCAACCCTGCCAGGTCTAAGTCAGCGTAACTTCCCTGGGGCTATGCTGACTTAGACCAGCTGAACTCTGACCTGCAGATTTCTTTTTCTTCCACTACTCTCAGTATTGTCCCATGATCTTCAGTTCCCTTTTGCTCTCATACACTCAAAAATATTATTTACTTCCTGTTTTCCTGCTGATAAATCCCTGGTCTGTGTGTGTTCCTTTTTGTGTTCCACCAAGGTACTTCCTCTTCTCTTAGCAGGATTGTACCGTGCTGGGAGTTTAGGATAGCAGCACCAAGAAATACCAACCCTTGTAGAAGAAAGTATTTTATTTATTATGTTGATTCTTTTACTCTGCTCTTCCTGTACTCAAGAGCTACATATACTCTCCTCTAGGAAGAGGAGCCGTCAAAATATAATTCCTAGTAAACAACGTCGTTATGCAGTAGGGAAAATCCTCCTCAGACATCATGAGATAGACCAACTTTTTAGCGTGCTGTCACTAGTTTTGTGACTTGCATGCTCTGTTAGTGTTCTTGTCTCAGAAATGAACGAGTTAGAGTGGTGATTTGTTACAAATTACACAATCCTGAAATCATTTCTAGTTCTGTTACGGCAGGATGCTGTTCTGTATGCTTCACGTGTTTTATTGCCTAGCAACACTGACCTGATACGTAATGTAGTCACAGGAAAATCTGCAGTTATTTCACGAGTATTTACTTTCCTGTAAACTTCTGCATACAGTGATCCATGCATGCAAACTGACAGTATTTTATTGGAAAGTGCTTCCTTGTAATGTACTGATCTTGCAGTAGAAATGCCCTGAAAATATAAATACAAACTGACCAGTGTTAAGCATACATTCAATTTTCCAATTAATTTGAAGGGTTTCAGGTTAAAAATAATTCCACCAAATAAATTTATACTTTCGAGAATTAAGGGAAAAAAATATTAGTTCTTGTGTTATCCAAGAAGTTCCTTCCTAGGCCCAAGTTTGAAATGCGCTGGATTCTGAATGACAGTCAGCAGTCCTGCATCAGACTGAACTGGTAGTTCCGCAGGAGTTAAGAAGTATGAGCATAAATCATCATGTTTCCAATTCCGGTCCTTAAAAGGACTGCTTTCTTTAATGCCTGTTTTTCCTTCTGAACTTTCTAAACTGTGCAAACTATCACAAATATCCCAATCCCCTTTAATTACTTTGAAGATAAAGTTTAAGCCTCATAGAAGAAAATACAGGGAGTGGATACAGGAAGCCAAATGCCTTGGCAAAATGTGTAATTCTTATACACCATAACGCATTATAGCTGAAAATAATTTTACGTTATTCATGTCCTATAACCTAACAGTATCATCTGCCTTTTCTTTATATTTGTTTCAACAGAAACGTACAAGATGCCTGGTATTTTGTGTGAATGCTCTTTTAAATATTATTAAACTCCCATTTTTACATTGGCTTACTATATTGCCGCAATTCATTAATTTATGTCAATACTTCTGTTCTTTAGTGATAACCTCCTGAAAAGAAATATGCTTCAGTGCATATTTTCTAATGGAACCAATAATCTTTATGGATCCTTAATTTAACAACAATAAGAACACCACCTTTCTAGACTCTGTTGTCTTAAAGCACAGCTTTTGCTACCCCTTCTCGTTCTGAGTAGCGTTCAGGAACGTACGCTGAAGTCTTTGGGGCAAATCATCCTTTCATTAACTTAGGTATGCAGGCGCTGACTAATGGAAAGTACTTAATTCAGTGGGTCTTGGGCAGTTTGCTGGTTAAATAATCACAGATTATTTAACAGTTTATTGTCTCAATTTTCAAAGTTGGCTGTCTTCTGGATCAGAAAAAGGGAATTCACCTCTGCCAAGTCACCACAAAAATAAGACGCTACTTCTGATTTGTTTTTATGTGCATGAATAATTTTTGTTTTTTTAGACACACGATAGTTTTGAAAGAAAGCAGCATGCTGGGATTGAGGGGAAATCTATGTGAATTTGAGTTAAACGTTGTTATAATTTTTTTGGTCTAAAAGGGAAAAATAATTCCTAAATAATGTTTCATTTAAGTGAATGTTTTGATTAGCTATCACAATAGTAGTGCAAAGTTAGGCCCGTGATATTTCACCTTCTGTAGCCTAGCTATTTCTTTTATATGATTTCATTCTTTTAATGTAACAAACCTAAAAGTAAGTCATCAAATGACAATCCATTCTGTTGGTCGGTTGCTTATTTTAACATATTTGTTTTAGCACTTCACAGATACAGTGAAAGGAGTATATTAGAAAAGCAAACTGCTTCCCTTTTCAAAGACATGTGAAGAGTTTTAGCCACACAATATAACAGGAATCATGTTTACTAAGTGAACATACTTCCTGTGAATCCCAACCTGAGGCTCTAGTCTGAGGAGCAGACGGGAGCTAGATTCGCAGTCACGTGCATGGGCAGGTGTCCTAAATAACTGAACAGCTAAATATCAATGAAGGAAACGTCTTGGAGCTTCATCGTAGGGACAGACAGATGCCAGCGTGCTTTTCTAATTTTTCCTCCATCCTTTTGTAGCTGTGTCTGGATTTTCTAAAAATTTTGTAAAACTTTAATCTTGACCAGCTTGTGTTAGCAATTGCTGTCATAGTATAAATGATAAAGCATTCTACTACTTTGGGCCTGGCAGGCCTTAAGTCTGAGATCTCATGCACAAGTAAGGAAAGGCTCGCTAAAATATCTTGCTGCTGGGCTAATACCCATGCCCAGATGTCGCTGAGTGATACTGAGCAAACTGGGGAACTTTCAGAGTAGGTAAGAAACTTAAAAGACATGCCACTGTTTGTACACCAGGAACCGGATATTTTGGATATCAGGATACCAGATAAATGAGACTCTGTTGCTCAGGACTGAACGTGTTCATTATTTGCTGTTTCCATGACTGTCACACTCCATATTAATGAATTAATGTTACTGGAAAGTATTGAAACCCTCACAACTCCCCTTCAGGCTCCTCAGGTCATTATAGCCCGGCAGGTGCCCTGTAT